AATGTGGTTAAAGAAAAAGAAATAAACTTTCAGAAAACATATTATAACTCAAAGTTCTAAGAATTTAAACACATTATCTTCTCACCTGGAAATTAGAACGACAACTGCAAATAATTAAATCACTTCATACAATGGAGGCCATTCAAGGAAATATCTTCCAATTCAGCCTCGTGCACCTCAGATACAAGATTTACAATGCAGAAGGGACATCTTATGATTCAAAATAAATTTCATTTTATTTGGGGGGGGGGCTACGTTAGGAGCACTGGCCACCTTTGGCTTACCCACCTTACTTAATCAAACATACTAAATTTTTAAAAAAAATTAATAATTTTTAGTGACTTCCTTGGGTCTGTCCTGCAGAGCAAAGTTTTTTGAGGTGAGGCTTAATATTACAAATAGCCACTCTCTGTCTTGTTTCTATATTTAGCCGTGATCTATATTTTGTCTTCAAAGATGCCACAGCAGAAAATCCTGTTTCACAAAGGTAGGATATTGAAAACGGTAATAGAATGCGAAATGCCCTTTGTTTCAGTGCAGAAAAATCCTCCTCCTGCCAAAATTCAAATAGTGATTTATTACTAAATTGCATTTCAGTTTCGCCACTTGTCGTGAAGTCTATGAATTTTTCTTCCTCATCAATTGAGAGTCCTTCGGGAGTCTTATGAAATGGATTCCTAACCCACTCGTAACTTGCTAGCAGTTTGTCATGAGCAGGAAAATACTTTTTAAAATTCTTTGCCAGCATGGCTAAATGATTTTCAATGGTTACAAACGTAACTTTCATATATTCTTCTTCAGCCTTATAAGTTTTAGTACAATTATCCACATTTGCAAACATTGTTAGGTTTTTTTGCTTTAAATTTCTGCCCCACAATTCTAATTTTCTACAAAAAGCATTAACTTCATCACTCGTATCCAACATATGTGTATTTGCTCCTTGGAGTTTAAGATTCAAGTTATTTAATTTCTCGAATATGACGACCAAGTATCTCAATTTCATCACAAATAAACAATAGTGTAAATTCCCGGTTTCCGGTCTGTTATCTTCTAAGAAAATGACGATTTCTTCTCTTAATTCATGAGCACGTTGCAAAAATTTCTCACGTGATAAACATCTTGCCTCACATTTAAATAGTAACTCTGAATGTACTGAACCCATGTCATTACAAAGAGCAGAAAAGATTCTCGATCTCAGGGTTCTCATTTTTATATAATTTGAAATGGTTACAACCGCAGTTAATACGATATTTAAACCAGGACGTATTTCTTTCGAACCCAAAGCTTCTCTGTGGATCATGCAATGTGTCCAGACGCATTGAGGCGATTTTTGCTTTACTAGTGCTTGTATACTTTCGAACCTTCCGGATATTGAACAAGCATATTCCGATGCATATTCCAGTGCATATTCCGATGCACTTTTTGCATTCTGTGTTTGCATCATTCATAACATCATTTAAAATAGCAAATAATGCTAGTGCTGTTGTTTTGAGTTCTATTGATTTGCAGAAAAGTAGTTCTACTACTGACATATTATCACAAAATCAAACATAGGCAATGAAATGAGCATCTTTATTAATATCTCTTGCTTCTAAGTTTATTGAAACCATTTTGTCACGCAACATCGAGAAAAGCTGCCACTACATTTTTAGCTGTATCACCAATTCGACGAGCAACAGTATCATTCGAAAGAGGTATGGACTGTAATTGTTTTGAAATATTAACTCCAAACATAGTTTCTACAATCTCAATTGCTGCTGATTTTTACTTTACTTTTGTTTTGGTAGTTAGTTAAAAATAATTTAAAGACAGAATTAAAAATACTCAATATACATTATTGTTGCATACATTTTACTGCAAGTGGGGGGCGCGATGAAAATTATGATTGATAACTGGACCGCGAATACTGAAAGGTTGAGAAACGCTGTTTTAATGTAAACTTAAGAAGGTTTGTTATGCAGTTTACGTGTAAACCTTCTAACCTTAAAACAAGATATGTGGCAATCTGCTCTATTCTACGGGTATTTTCCTAATCTCCGAAACCTTCTATATTAAAACCTAAAAATCAAGGCTGTCTTAGGGTTTTCAAGCGAGAAAAAAATCTTTTGATAAAGCTAGTCTCAAAGTGAAAATAATCTTAAATCTAGAAAACTCTTCTTCATGCTCCACGTGCTGTATAGTCTGTCTAAAGTAAGAACTCCTCTAGCCATTCACCTGGACTCGTGGCGGTGACTATGGTAACGAGGTATTACTATTTCAAGTAGGGGAGTAACGTCACTATTTGGGACAGGTTGGGGCTCTGAGCGGCGAAAGAATCTTTTTCTTCGGTCTATTGTATTAGCCCTAAAGGGAAGAGAAGCTACCCTCCCTGAAATGATCCATTCTTTTTTTCCATATCGGCAGAAGGCCTCAGACTTGGTGGAGGAGGGAGTTCTTACTGTAGACAAACTATACTACTTCCTCACGCTCACCTTTCTAGCCATAGGAAGAGTATCTCATAATATATATTTTTTTTCTATAAGAGGCGATATTCTTCGCTGCTACTCAAAATATACATGTCATCATCATCATCGTAGTAAGCCAGACAGTCCAATGTGAGCCAATGCCTTCCTCTGAAGATTTCTCCATGATGGCTTCCGATTTATCTTTGATCTAAAATATACATGAACTTCCCCAATCAAAAGCCTTTTTTTCTCAGCTGATTTAAATTCTTGACCTTTAAAGTATAGGAAGGAGCCGCAATGTAGAAAAGAAAAAAATGTCATTGTTAACTTCTGTCGTTCGTCATTGTTAACTTCCTTTTTACTGTATTTCTCATTTTAAACTTTTATTCCTCCATAACCGATTCCCTGAAAATTTCAGTCGTCCCCACTTAATTGCATATCGTATATTCGTATAACTCGCTTATACGAATACAATTTAAAGGATCCAAATCATTTTATAAGAAACTAACGTTAAATTTCTTCGTTTAAATGGATATTTGTAGTTTCTAGTTCTCCCTTAATTGCAAAAAAAGAGATACTGAAATGAAAAAAAAATCTATTCATTTTTAAGAACTGTTTCACCAACTAGAATGGAATTTTCAGTTAAGAAGATAAGAATACAATGGGTGATCACTTCAATAGGAACTTCCTGTTCATTTCTTGCTCTCAACAGTTGTTAGGAGTATAGCTTAAGAATTAATCAAATTTTGCTGGCAGTTATCCATTGCAGTGAATGAAGGGGGGTTTTACCTCTCCTTTGACTGACTTCACTCACACATTAATTAGAATGTAAAAAGGTACAGAGTAATTTTTCTCGCAGTGAAGACTTTTTCTTATCAAAGCTAATTTTCACAGCAGAACTGAGTTATCAGCTTTGATAAGAAAAAGTTTCAAAAGTACAGCGTGTCTTTCCCTAATGCAGAATAATCATTGCTTACTGCAGTGAATGCAAGACGAGTGTGAAAAGAAATGATTTGTCATAATGGAAAAAGTAAGAAAAATAGGGGTTTCGAACGAAATCAATTAAATTTCAAAAATTCCAAATTGAAATAAGCAAAGTAATTTGGTATTTTTCAAGTTTGGAAGATATAAAGAAAACTTAAAATCTGAAAGTATACGTAAGAAATATGCAAGTCATGAAAGTCTTAGTAAAGAAAAGAAAGGAAAAATCAAATTTTGATAAATTATTCGAATTAAACGAATATAAAAACAATCTTCAAGTACATATATTTTTCGAAAAATAACAAAATAATATTGTAGTACCTCCATCGTTTTTTTTCTTCATTAGCATAAGATTTATTTTTATATAGCTTTAAATGACATTTATATTATATAATACGAAGGAATGCAGTTTAAATTATATTTGTTTATTGATCATAAAACTGAGTTTATGTTGTTACGGCTGTTCAACAACGGTTACAAAACACCATGTTTTCTTTATTTAGAAAAAATGCCAAATAGGAGTGTAGGTTGTTAAAAGCCGTAAGATTGGAAAATCGCTTACCGATCCTCACAATAATATTTATTCTTGAATAGCATTCAGTGTCAAAAAACCCACCTGTCCCATAAAACCCACCCGGGTTTTACTGGGTAAACCCCATTCTGAAAAACCCAGGGTGGGTTTTTCAAAAATTGATTTCTTTTTTATCCTCATTTGTATTAAAGAGCTATTCTATTGAAATATATATGTAGTCCAGCCTAAAAAAATGAACCTATGGTGAAAAAATTAACTGTATTTGGAGACTGGAGAGTCACCTTGCTGGCTAGATTTGACTGTATATGGCCATTGATTAGTCAGTGCTTTTAATTCGCTTTCCATGCAAAAAAATAAAAAATCCCTCAATTATTTTTAAGACTAAAATATAAATAAAAAGTAATACTATGTTAAAATAAGTTTCAAATGTGTGATGTATGTGAGTACATATAACATTTTTTTTATCGTGATGTCAGAAGAAACTTTATTCACACTTTTGTACTCATTTTTTTGTATTAATTATTAATTGCACTTTAATTACTTATATGTGAAATTAGTTCATAAAATTAAACTTTATTATTAATATTAACATAAACTTTTTTAAAATAAGGTGCTTAACCCAGCCTTCTCTTTTGAAAAAAAAAATAAAACATGAAGTACCCAGAAAAACCCGCCCGGGTTGGGTTTTTCTGAAAAAACCCGGGTTTTTTGCAACCCTGATCGCATTGATCTGAAAAGCATTGTTTAACAACCACTAGTCCGCAAACGCTGTTATCTTTACAATTATTAATTCAATATAACAATTATTATTTCACAAAAACTGTTCTTTATCACTGGTCAAAAAATTGCTAAAGTGTTCCAATTTTATGTGAGATAAAATTATACCAATAGTCCTAATCTTACCGCGATAAAGCCGGACACACCGGATCGAGAAACACTGGTCTGAAATAATCGTAGTCATTTCATACACGCACAGGAATACACTTTAAGTTTATCCGAGCATTGTTTATTTATTTATTTTCTCTTCTTTCTCTTTTATGAAGTGAAAGAAATAAAAGTGGAACCAACGGAAAGAAAAGTAGTAGTAGACAGAAAGCAGCGTTTGTCATATTCACTGAAAAGGGAACAGTTGAAGACCGAGCCTATCTTGTGTGAACGAGTGAAAGAGGAAAATCGGTATGTATTATTCACTCTCTTGACACGCATTTCTAGAATCCTTTAATAAGATATCAATTTTCGAACCTTGTAGAGCAGTCAAACTCATTTTAGAGTAACACTCAAAATATTTGAAAAATTTATGATATGATGTGATTATTCTGACTCGTTCAGTTTCCTTAAACAGAAATTATTTTATAACCGTCGTTGAATAGCCGACCCTATTTTTGGGGGGTTTACGACTACTAGTGTTCAACTCCGTAGCCTTGTAATTTTGAACAAAATCCAGAAGACAAGAGAACTATTGGATCAAATATGGGGAGAATCAGATTTGGACCCATAGACCCTACGAGGACCCATATTAGATCAAAATTGGATCACATAAGGGTCCTCGTAGAGGACTTTTAGATGGAACTCACCCGCAGTTCCGTTACATGGAGAGGAAAACCTCCCACGGTTAGAATGACGGCAAGGAGACTTTAAAACATGATCCGTCTACCACTGAGAATATTTCATGTCAGCACTGCGGTCGGTGCAAGCCAGCTGCGGAATTCGCATCGACCAGACATTGCCGGGATTCGAACCCCGGTTTACCTCATTGGAAGGCGAACGCTCTATCCCCTGAGCCATCGCGGCTCTGGTTGTATTTATTGTGCGTAAATTTATACTTAGGGCCGGAATAGCCTGGTTGGTAGGCGCTGGATTCACAGTCGACCCAAATTTTGGGTTCACGACTACTAATGATCCACTACGTAACCTTGTAATTTTGAATCCAATCCAGAAGACAATTGGATCAAATATTGGAAGAAATTTTGCCTTCGTGGAGGACTTTTTGATAGAACTAATCCAAATTTGCATTACATGGAGAGGAAGACCACGAGTACCTCACACGGTTAGTCTGACGGCAAGGGGACTAAAACCTATGATCCGTCTACCACTGAGGATATTTTACGTCAGCATTGTGGCCGGTGCAAGTCGGATGCGGAATTCAAATCAACCAGCTGTTGCTGGGATTCGAAGCCGTTTCCCCTCATTGGAAGGCTATCTCTCTATCTCTGAGCCATCTCGGATCAAACAGAAATTATTGTGCAAATCGAAACATTCTAAGGGGAAAAAAAACACCATTTCTGCCAAGTATGGTATTTTAGTAACAGCAGTATTGGTTGCGATATTTTACTTATATTATTTATATGTAATACAAATGATATCATATTTGAAACGTTTTATTTTAAAGCTATGAAAGACTTTTCTATGAACTAAAGGCAATTAGATAGAATTAACTGTTTAAAGTTGATTGCTGCTCATCTTCTGCTATATTGTTTGCCAAAGAAGCAGGGACGACTTTATTTCGGAATTTGTATAGCAGCGCGACTGTTTTTCATGTACATTTAAAGGTTTTAATATCTTCTTCTAAAACTATTGTTAAAAATTGTTTATTTTTATCATAATTACGAAAAATTCGCGTGCGAGTTTTATTTCCTGAACGCATTTTTTATGATTTAAACTGGTGCAAATTCGCGTTGTTGTTGTTGTCGTAGTCTCTGGTAACAAGGGGTGTGATTGTTCTTGTTTTCCAGTGGCGCCATCTATGGTCAAGAATTCAACTTCGGCCTCCCCATGCATCACATCCGTTCATAGGGCGGACCCATTCATTCATCCACAGATCGTAATTTTGACCCGAACCAGAGAACGATGAATCTCCAATCCAGTACCCCCAGAGGTTTTGAATTGTTATGAGACGTGGAGGACTTTGTGACCCTACAGATATAACGTGCACCAGTCACCATTTACTACACGGGGAGTCTCTGTCATACTCAAGAAGCTTAACAAACGTGAGTCCTGCCCACCTCGCTATTCTGGCCTCGAAAATTCGCGTTGAGATTTCTTAGTAGTTAACAGTAAAATTCATTCCTATGAAATCAAAGACACTGGTTTGATTTTTCTAGGAAAAATTGACTTTACAGGGAATGCTGATACCGATGAGTTTCCTAAAGAAACCTATTCATATGATTTCAAAAATGTAGTGTCAATAAAATATTTATCAATAGCTCCCAGTAAAGAATACTAATTATGTAAAAAATAAGTATCAGTATTTATGTCTAATTTATTCTCTTTCAGGCGATTTATTGAAGTGCCCGTGTTCTCAATGATTGTTAATAAACCTGGTATACCTCCGTTCAGATTCTCTCCGATTACAAGTTCTACAGAAGTTTCGGACTGGTACCGGTTCTCTCCCTCTACTGGTATCCATGACATGCCTCGATTATCTCCCATCACAAGTTCTGATGCAGCTCCTGGCATGTCTCACTTTTCTTCAATAACACGATCTAGTGAAGCTCCAGGCATGCCTCACCTTTCTCCAGTAACACGATCTAGTGAAGTTTCTGGCAGACCTAGTTTCTCTTGTATTACAAACAGTAAAGTTTTTGACAGATCTCTGGCGCCATCTATTGCAAGTCCAAATAAAGTTGCTGGTAAGTAAATTTGAAATCTATCGATATTAAATTAATGAAACTGTAATGCATGAATACACATTTTTCTGNTAAGAGTTGGTATATTCGGCAGATGTGTCCAGGAAGTCCACTGAAATTTATTGTGGTGGTTAATATCAGACTCCATACAGCTCATTGTATGCTTGATTTCGTCCCGCAGTGGACTTATCGTTAAGACACGGTTCCCAGCAGATCGCTGAAGTCAAGCATCACTGGCTGCGGTCCGTATGCTGGTGGGTGACCACTTGAATCATTCTTCGTAGGAAACCGAGGTTGTGCGGTATAGGTCCTCGTTAAACTATTCAATCGTAAAGTGCTCGACTTCTTGTGCAGGTCGTTGGGCTTCCGAAGCGGGGGTGCCATCCCCTCCGCAGAGGATCAAAAATGTGTTGGCATGTCTTTGGATCGTCCTCAGTGATGCTTCCCAGACCGTCGCCAATAGCCCATTGTGCAGCTCTAGTGCGATGTAAATGAACTACAACGACAACATCCTCTCTGCAATTAAATGACTCAAAAGCTGGAAACGGTTGCTGCAAACATTAAAGTCCCTGTAACGATAAACTATCGAAATAAAGGTTTTTCTATTTGTCTCATAAAAAACACATTTGAGGTTTCTATCTTGATAAAAACGTAAAATACAACATAGCTGATATTTTTGAGTTAATTACCCTTAATTAATCAATGATTTTAAAATATAGAGATGAATATTTTATTGAGTTATAAAATATTATTTATAACTAGGTTAATGGACCTTCAAGACTCCGACTCTTACGAAATGTTCTAATAATTGCAAAATATCGAAATGAAGTTTTTTTGTTGTTGTACATTTTAGAACACGCCATTTCATAAAGAACACGCGTTTTTTACTTCATAAAGAATTAGTAAAAAAAATCATCATAGTCCGAATTGGAAACATCTATTTTGGTTAAAAAAAAAGGTTTTACTGTCTACCACTATTACTGTCAATTAGGCTAATCACTCCTTAATTACAAACTATCAAAGTGAATTTTTCTTAAAAATTTATATTTTATAAAAATTATTTTTTAAAACTTTTAGACGTTAACTCACTGGTGAAGAAAAGTAAAGCAGAATGCTTGAAGATTAAAGAAGAAATCGTCGATTCACCTAGTAAGTACCATTGAAAAATATTTGTTTCACTATTTAATTTCTTCTGTTTCGCATGTCGTGTCAGAATTGTGTGTTTGTTATGTAGTAAATTATCATTATCAATTAGAGTAGAGAATTATCAAATTAGAGTAGTATATTTGTTATATAGTAAATTAGAAATTTCGTTATTCTATTGAGCAAACATGGCTCATTTCGCTGGCAACAATTAGTACGCATAGTTTTTTAGTGCAATTTGAAAAATAATTGTGCTTGAAAAATAATAATTTATACAGAATATAAAATAAAAAACATATTTTTACACTGGTAGTAAAATAGCCAAAAATGTCAACATGATGGCAGTTTAGTGAAGACGAAAAGCGTTTATGATCTAATTTGTTTTAATTATTTTAAAAATAACTTCCAACTCTACATAGTCTAAGACCTAAGATTTACAAAAAAATATTCTAATAAATTACTATTTATAGTTACAAATATTCTGATCGTTAGTTTGGCAAGTTTTAAAAGTTTAACTATTTATCGCTTAACTTCCTCCCTAAAACCCAGATAATTTCTTTTTTAACAATATGGTATAAACAGTTTAAAAGAAAGGCTGCTCTACAAGTCTTAAATTTACGACTGAAAATTTGAATTTTTTTTTTCCTTCGGTAAGAGGCCTTCGAAAATATACTCTCAGCATGTCAGAGTTGAGCTGTTGGAAACATAAAATGGACCCTTACAATATAATAGTATTGATATGAAACTTTTTTTTTACTTCATAAAGAATTAGAAAAATATAATCACAGTGTTCGAATAAACATCTATTTTGGTAAAAAAAAGTGTTATTGTCTACCACTGTTACTGTCAGTTAGGCTAGTCACCCCTTAATTACAAAATATCAAAGTGAATTTTTTTCAAAATTTATAATTAATTATTTTTTTTAACTTTTAGACGTTAACTCACTGGTGAGGAAAAGAAAAGCAGAATGCTTGAAGATTAAAGAAGAAATCGTCGATTCACCTAGTAAGTACCATTGAAAAATATTTGTTTCACTATTTAATTGCTTCTGTTTGGCATGTAGCGTTAGAATTTTGTGTTAGTTATATAGTTAATTTTAATTATTAGTGAATTAGAGTAGTATATTTGTTATATAGTAAATTAGAAATTTCGTTAAAATTGTATTGATCAAACATGGCTCATTTCGCTGGTAACAATTAGTACGCTTAGTTTTTTAGAGCTGTAATGTTTGAGAAACAATAATTTATACAGAATTAATTATAATTTTACGCTGGTAGTAAATAGCCGAAAATGTTAACATGATGACAGTTTAATGAAGATGAAAAGCGTCTACGATCTAATTTTATTTAAAATTATTTTGAGAATAACTTCAAACCCTACATAGTCTTAGATTTTAAAATAATGCTCTAAACTATATTCCGAACTATTTATAATAACGAATCTTTCGATTTTAAGAATATCGTTAGTTTGGCAAGTTTTAAAAGTTTAGCTATTTTTTGACTATGTAAGCGCTTGGTCCTTAAATCCCAGATAATTTCTTTTTAACAATATGGAATAGACAGTTTAAAAGAAAAGCTACACTATAAGTTTTAGAGTTCCGACTTTAAAAACTTGAGTTATTTATTTATTTAGTTTTTTGTTACAAGACCTTCGAAAATACTCTCAATGTGTCGGAGTTGAGCTGTAGGTAAAATCAAGTAGAATCTTACAGTGAAAAATACTTTGTGCTTTAATCATTAAGTTTTAAGCCTTTTTATTACATTTTAAAACAAAGTTCAATTCAAAAGTACGCAAAACTACAAATAAGAAAAATGGTAAAAGCTACTTATAGCTAAACAATATGTTTTTTTAAAAAATATTTTTATTTTATTTTATTATTGTTACTATTTTTACCTTTTGGGGTGGATATAGAAAAATGTCTTTCAGGTGGTGGGATTTATGAGTTCAATGCTTATTTAAATTTCCATAGTTAACTTAAGCGTGCATTCCTTTTTTTTAAATTATCAATCGAAAAAAAATAAGATTACCTTCATACAATAAATAAATTTTTAATGAAGATCAAATTTCTATTTAATTCGATTATTTTACTACAATTAATAATCGAATCTTATTTCCATAGCTATTCTCGATTAGGTTATGTTAGGAAAAATTACGAATCATCGAGGGCAGGCACTTAACCTTCAACACATAATTATAAGAATGGGGAATACTCTTTACTTTAAAATATATATATATATGTCAACTACATCACCGTCTTGCAATTATTTTGATTAGACTAATACATTATAAGGTAAATAACGATTTTTTATGTTAATTACGTCACTAAAAACTCGTGTTCCTTAAATTGAAGATTTTCGAAATCTGTCTTTAGTTTGTACAAAAAATTAAAAAAATAGCCTATCAATTATAAACTTACTGAACGTCTCAAAGGAAAAAAAAGCACAATCTTAATTTATAACCAATGTTGAAAACTAACCCATTGTTGGGTTAACGACAATTAAAGTAACCTTTTAATTTTTAACCCTACCTTGAACATAATGGATCAAAAGCATTTTATTTTGTTTCATAACCGTCGTTGAACAGCCGACCCAATTTTGGGTTCATGACTACCAATGCTCAACTCCTTAACCTTGTCATTTTGAAACCAATCCAGAAGACAAGTATACATCTGGATCAGTACCCCCAGAGGTATTGATTTGTTATGGGAATACGGAGGACTTTGCGACTCTACAGATTTAACGTGCACCAGTCACCATTTACTTCACGGGGAGTCTTTGTCCGGCTGGGATCGAATCCACGAACTCTTGGACACGAGCCCTGTACCCTACCAACCAGACTACCCCGGCCTGATGCGAATTGTTTATGCAATCTCCCCCTCCAAATCAATGCTAGTTGTTCAAGTCGCGATTTACGGAAGTGCAGAGTTTCGAGCTGCATGCCCCCCGCCCCATCACCCCACAATACGAAATACTTAGTGGCTCAATGGGATACCTGCTAGTGACGAAGCGTGGGTATCTCGATTCTGATTGGTGGAAGAGTTTCTCTTGTTTACATTAACAACTGTTCTTTTGATTCTGTTTGAGTAAGCCAAGCCCTTCAATTTTCATTCTATATTCCTACACAAAGATTCTTTCACGAAGATTTCAATTCTTTCACTATATATTTCTCACTTAACACAAAGATAGACATGAAGCTATGTAGAATATCAGCAAACTAATTATGCTTCGAAGTTGCCAGGTACACAAAACAAAAATGTATTACGGTTACGATGAAATGCATAAACAAATAATAAATCTAAGTTAAGTAAAAGACGTAGAAGAGAAAGAATTAAATTTCAATAATGTGTGATACGGCATTGTATTTCATTAACTTCACGTTAATTAGTATTCTAACTTACGTCTAGAAACTCAGCTCAACTTTATCACGCCATTTTGCTTATAAACGATCAGTTGGGCTTGACATCACAGTGGGTATACGTGGTCTTCTTCTTCTTTAAGTGTAAGTACCCGATTGGTAATAAAATGGAAACATACCACCAAACAATATTTTTACTAGATTTTATTAAAGTTTAGAAGTTTAATGGTCAATGGACTTTTTTTTTTTTGACATAACGAGTATACCAGGGTTGGGGTTTTGGACGTCCTAATCTGGTCTTAGACATGACACGTGACTTTCACTGTCCTAAACTGTCTAAAACTGTTCTAACCTGTCTTAAAGTGTCCAAAACCTTGAACATTGGTAAAAGGTAAAGATTCTTTATGTGTAACCATTGTACACATAATGACAAATATTAATAAATATTTTATGCTTTTTATACAATTTGCTTTAACTTATTAAAGGAAAATAATATAATAAGAAAAGATTTATAACTTTTGAAGCTCCATAATTCATTGAATAACGAAAGTGAGTATCTTATCCCTTATATATGAACAAATATGTTTTCAATACTGATAAATTATGTATAAGGATAAATAAATGCAAGATTAAAAATAATGATAAACTTTTTTAATAAAACAAAAATTTGTCTGTTTCTTGTTCAAAAATTAACTTTTTATATTTCCCAATATTTTTTTAAAAATTGTGACATTATTTAAATAAAAGGGTTTTGGACAGTTTCAGACAAAGGGGTTCTGGACGAGACGGTTTAAACCCTGGTTTCAACCGTGGATTAATCCATTATGTCCTAAACCTTGACAATTCTGGAGTATACACGTTTTACGCATTGCAATAGGGATTTGTTTAGTAGTTCATTTTGTATATTAAAACTGGTTAGTAGTTTTTTTTTCTTAATGAGCTTTTCTTCTTGTCTTAGGCTCTCCTGTTGTTCCCAAATTGGAAAAAGAGAGATCTCCCGGATCAAAATCCGAAAGGGAANAATTATTCTCGATTACTCGAATTTTACTCCCTTTAACTCGATTTTTTTTGGGATCTTTTAAAGCAAGAAAAAAAAACAAGGAGCTGATATCATGCCCCTTCCTTTGCAACACACAATGTCTTTCGCACTCTTCATGGAGAAGCTAAAGCTGTCCCTCTTGAAGTATCTGAACAGAGGTTAAATGAAACGTTACGAAATTTACTTCAAGCATGCAGTTAAAATGATGTTTTCAATATTGATGAAATGGGTTTATTTTTGTCTTTTAAATAAGACTATGATGTTTAAGGATGAAAACTGCTCAGGGGGTTAAATGAGCAAGAAACGTTTGACTGTCCTAGTTGAAGGAAATGCGTCTGGGGCAGAGAAATTGCCCTTACTTGTTATCGGAAAATACCGAAATCCCCGATGTTTCAAGAATGTAAAAACGTATCCTACAGATTACAAGTCTAATAAAAAGTTTTGGATGACATCAGTTTTATTTGAAGACTATGCAAGAAAATTGGATCGGAAATTCTTCGCTAAAAAAAGAAAAGTGATACTTTTTATTGATAAATGCACAGCGCATAGTGATCTACCTAATTTGAAAGCAGTAAACTTGCAGTTTCTCCCGCCAAACACAACAGCAAACTTGCAGCCGATGGACCAGGGTATCATAAAGTGCTTAAACAGTCTTATCGTAAATGGCTTGTCAGAAAAATGATCTTAAATATTGTAAGCATTTAGAAGATTTGTAATTAATAAGCATTAATTAAATAATCCGATAATATTTTAAAAGTCCAAAACCTAAACTAACGGTAAGTCGAACTTTTCGTCAGTCCTATCAGATTCGAGTTATCGCGAATTCACTGTAGTTCATTTTGTACATTAAAACTGCTTAGTAGTTTTTTTTTTCTTAATGAGCTTTTCTTCTTGTCTTAGGCTCTTCTGTTGTTCCCAAATTGGAAAAAGAGAGATCTCCCGGATCAAAATCCGAAAGGGAAAGAAGAAATGAAAATATTCTAAAAGGACTGAACACTGTAGATCCACTTTTGAAACGGATTTGTTTAGAAGAAAACGAGGACAACCATTTTTGTGAAATGATGAAATTCTATTTCAAAGATTTAAATAAAAAGAGGAAAGCTGAGCTTCAATTAAAAATTTTGAATTTAATTAAGGAGGAATTGAATAAAAACTAATTATATTGGATTGCCTTTTTTTCTTTATTTATGTAATATATTAATATACAACAGAAGCTTTTGATATAGTGCTAATTTCTTTAAATTGCTTCATTTGATGTACTAAAAACCAACTACTACTTAGAAATTTCAGCTTAGTAAACACAGACTAAAAAAAAANGCACAGACTAAAAAAAAAAAACGTCTAGTTAATTCTGATTTTTTAATACCAATAAAAATCCATTTCTATTTTGTAAATTAGGAGAAATAAACGAGTTTCGAGACGTGAAATTAGTCGTCGTTATTACAAACTAATTCATAGTTAAAGAACTCTTGATAAAATTTTTGTTTCATTTGAATAAACAATATTTGAAAACAAATTGCGCTTAAAGCTTTTTTTTTCAGCATAATCTTCAACTGACAATTTGCATATGAAAAAAATTTAATCGTAATAAATAAACGCTTAACTAACTAAAATAGATTATAGTAATCTCTTTCTACAAATAGCTTATTTTTTAAATTCCTTCACGATGGTAAGTTTGTACCATGATTTCTTGTGTTTTCTGGGTTGAATTCAAAATCAGAAGTCTACTTAGTCCATTATTTAAATCCACATAGCCGATATCAGGACCCACGCTAAGGATTTAGGCAGTAAATTAGCCAAATATCAAAAGTATTTCCGAAAGTCTTCGCTAAATGCATAGCTTAAAAAAATTTTATGAATCATTTTTGTCCCATAGAAAACTATTTTACGGTAGTTTATTTCAGGCTTATATTGTTTTGACGGCTATATGAGTTGTATCTACTGAATTTTACAGTAGAAATCCTTTTAGATTAGAAAAAATCCTTTTCACGTAATTTTGAGGATCGAGTTCAATGCATTCTTTTCTTTCCAGTAGAAAAAAATCAGTCGCCAATACTTCCGCCAAAACACAATTTTATTCGCTAAATTTACGATTCTATGTTATTTGGCAAGGGGGCGAATGCTTCGTGCGGGCCTTGAATATGAATATGTTATTAAATTAAGTAAAACGAGTCTTAATATAAATTAGTAATAAATCTTGTGAAGAAACTAGCAATACTAAGAACTAAGGCCGAGATAGCCTGGTTGGTAGGGCACATGTGTAAGAGTTTGTGGGTTCGCATCATCTTTTCTTCTAATGTGACTGTTAATGTAGTATGTCGGATACAAGAACCGACGGAAATAAATATGAGAGGACTGAAGGAAGTAGAAGATCAAGAAGTTTCATTTGGTAGACGATTTAATAAAAAGCTATTTACGTATATATACAAAATATCTAACTATTATCATTTTTGTTCAGACATGTTATTTCTACCGCTCATCTCTGTTCTATTTTCAATTCAGACTGATGCCACTCAAAATATAAAAACATAAAGCTCTTACCGTAGATGGCGCTGCATTCTCCCCACTTGAGTTTGCGAGGCAAAATCAACAAAAATCTAAACATTCTACTGAAAAATACTAAAAATATCTTAAACAAACAACTATCAATAAATGTTACAAAAAATATTAATTCAAAAAATTCAAGTTAATAAATTCAGAAATAAAGAGATAATAATCAAACACATAGTAATGTTTTCTCAAAAAAGTATCGTTAAATATGTAAAAAAGTCACATGTCCAAAACATAAAGTCAAGTTAAAGTCTCACAGTCAATATGTTCTGGCATTATCGGTGATCTCTAACGGATAGAGTCTTTGAATTAGTCTTAATAGAGTTCCCTTACTTGTTTTCAGTTTAACTAGTCTGACTCGTCCATCTCTTCCAGGGAAGAGCTCAATAACTTTTCCTAACGGCCAGAAAATTCGTTTTCTGTCTTCTCTGCCAATCAAGACGATGTCTAAAATATTTATTTGGTCAAGTCTCTTGGAAATAGATGAACGCAAGAAACCTAAATATTCGGTCCTGAATCTTTCTTTTAGTCTTTCTCTCAATCTTTGAACATATCTGTATCTCTTGTCTAAATTAGTTTTGTCAATTTTGTCTAAGTCGGCTACGTCGTTAGTAGGGAGGTCTTGAAGGAATGAAGATGGTGTTAAAGCTCTCAAATCTGGTTCTTCAGACACATAAGTCAAAGGTCTATTGTTCATGATCGACTCACATTCACAAACAAGAGTTGAGAGTTCTTCATGAGTCAGAGATGACCGTCCCAAGTTTTTTCTTAAGAGGTCTTTGAGAATTCCGATTAATCTTTCCCAGAATCCTCCCCACCATGGGGCGGATGGTGGATTGAATTTCCATTGGATTTGGGAAACTTCAAATTCTTTCATGATTTTGGTCCAATCAAGGCGCTTCAAGGAAGCGTTGAGGCTGTGGGGATTTAATTATCGACTATGTCAACCTTCATCTATCAAAACGTACCTCGTGATGGATTCAAGTTAACATGTCTTATATACTATTGATTTGGTATTTAATATTTGTAGTGGTAGTTACGCCACAAGGCCAGTTAAATTGGTACCATTGTCTGAGTACCGTGTGGATACTCTACCTCTTCTGGCAATAAAACGCCGTAATGCTTGAACAGAAGCGTTTGTGCTAAGAGAAGGTATCAGCTCTAAGTGAACAGTTCTATATACAGCACAGGAGAAAAGGACGATCCAAACCTTCTCATTAGTCTTGGTCATCAAAGGTCCGGCCATATCGACACCGGACACTTCGAATACAGTCGATAATCTAGTTCGATCAGGAGGCAGAGGTGGAAATGGTACTTCAAGATTTTTAACCTTTTGTCTCTTGCAGGTGACACATCCTCTAATAACGGAGCGAACAGTTCTTCTACCTTTTAAAAATCAAAACCTAATTCTTCCGCAGTAGATTTCAAAATATAAGACTTTTGTGAACCCGTATTTAATATAATTCTAGCTTTACGCTGCGCTTTATTTCCCTTAATAATTACTACAAGAGTCTGTAAAAATACTTCTTTAGTTGCATGCACGCGCGAATGTAAGGTGCCCGTCTCTTTTTCTTTGCTTTCATTATTATCTCGTTTTATTTCATCCGATCGATTACATTCTAAGTCAGGACACATGAATTTTAAATGTTTTATTGAGCAAATGGGACATTTAATATTTGATTTACAAGAAAAAGCCAGGTGCCCTTTCAATAAACAAATTTTACATAAACCCTTCCTTCTAATAACAGACTGTTTTTCTTCTAAAGGCATATAAAACGCTTTCTTGCAAAAAGCAGTCTCGTGGTTTTTTAAACAAAATAGACAAAGAATATCATCGTTTGAATTATGACTAATTAATTCAGCAGCAGACGATTTCCGATCTCTCAAATTCAGACTCGCCTTCGTTCAAAGGGGGGATGAAATATTTCAGTTCTACTCAATTTTATTTTTTCTTCCGCTTGTACTTCGTTTTTCAAAAAATAAATTATCGCATTATGACTGGATAGTTTTCGTTCGCTTTCTAAACTTTTTCTTTGGCGTTCAAATGAGCGTAACACATTTAATGGTAATGAACTTTCAACAAGGGGATTTTAGGTTTGTCGACTGAATTAAATAGTGAAATTTATCAGCTTTCGTTAAATTAACATTTTCATGAATATTTTTAAATTGGTTCCAAAACGTTAGCCAATCTTACAAGTCTCCGCCGAATTTATATAATTCAACTTCGGGGAGCCGTTGACATAAAGCCTTCGGAGATTTATTGTTCGGTAATTCGCGGTTATTTTCGGAAGTATTAATTTCATTTTCACACGAGTTCTTTTTCAAATTATCTAAAGAACGTTTAGCTTTTAATTGAATTCTCAAAGCTTTTTCTCGGTATTCTTCAACGGAATTATATTCAGTTTCGAATTCTTTTTCATCTTGCAAACTATCTAAATAACTATTATAAGTTAATTCCAAAATGTCTACTTTTTGTTTATATAAACAAAGATCAGTTTCGATTTCGTCATACTTCACGCTATCGCCAGTTAATAAATTTTCTAGTTTATTGTAGACCTTAGTAAATGAAGCTCTTTGAGAGGTTTTATTTCTTTTTATTATTTCCATTTTTACTATTTTAATATCAAATTCTTAGCTTCTAAAACAATCGATTCTAAGCACATATAAATTACCGTTATGGTATCAAATATTCAAATAAAAATATATATATATTTCAAATCTTCAAAAGTATTCAAATTGTCAAATATTTAATCTTCAAAATGGAAATTAATAAATCTTCGCCTACCTTTCTTAATTTCTTGTTTGTCTTGTTTCAATCAGACCGCCCAAACCGGGGGCGCCATAAATGTCGGATACAAGAACCGACGGAAATAAATATGAGAGGACTGAAGGAAGTAGAAGATCAAGAAGTTTCATTTGGTAGACGATTTAATAAAAAGCTATTTACATATATATACAAAATATCTAACTATTATCATTTTTGTTCAGACATGTTATTTCTACCGCTCATCTCTGTTTGTTCAAAATGTTCCAAAATTAATGCTATGAATTGTATAGTTTTAAAATCTTTAGTTATAGAATGAAGATGTTAAACACCAGTACATTAACCGTTTAGCAAAAATAATTTAAAAGAAGCAGACTCAGAAGTGTTTTAAAAATGAACCAATTCTCTTATCGAAGTAAATCAAAACAAAGAATTGGTTTAATTAAGAAAGTCCGATTAAATTTTCCAATTAAAGTTATATTGTTCATTTGTTAAGAATAGAGATGACAATTGGCATGCTTTAAATTACTTGATTTTTTTTTTTCAAAAATCGTTTATTTAAGTAACCTTTTTTTTGAGTCATTGAATTATGTCAAAAATATTTTATAATAATATTTATGAAAAAATATATACCGTAAACCGGGGCGAGTCTACCCATCCAGGGGCGAGTCTACCCATTTTAGTTTTATTTAATTTTCACTACTTAAAATTGCAAATAAAAAAATTTTAACGACGGAGGACTTACTTAGTTCAGACTCTAAGGAAGATGGCGCTGTAGTAGTTTGATCTGTTTTTATTTATTTGGTGTCTTTTTAACCGACCTGTTCAAACGTCTTTTGAGAGATTTGTATTGAAAATCAGCAAACTTTTAGTTGGTGCTCCGTAAGTATATTATTATTATTACTATTTTCACTTTGGTTAAGTGATAAACTTATCTAAGACTAAGATTACATTAATTTTATATGAAAAAAAACAAAAAGAATGTAAGTTTTGCTGTTGTAAACAAAAAGCCAGAATTCGCGGGGCGAGTCTACCCATTCGTATTTAGTTTTAATAAAGCATAATAATATAATTTAGAACTTTGTTTATATTAAAATTAAGTCATTTTAAATGAATTTGAGTATATTATTTTAATTCTGCATTGATGAATTTATCATTAATAAGAAAAAATGGGTAGACTCGCCCCGGTTTACGGTATTTTACTTTGCCATTATTACGTTTTTGATTTTGATTGTTTTCTAAATTAAGAGAGTTTAAAACTAAAAGAGTTGTTTCCTTATTATAATGTAATTTTATGAGTATTTAAATCGGTTTCTCGACTTATTAACAGTTTTGCAAGCGGCAGCGAACAGAAGACTTACCCCTCTAGTTAATACACATATTTTAAAGTAGTGCATTTAAGAAGAAAAAAAAGTGGTCCTCATTGATATTAAAGTTTTTAAATACTGAGAGAGAAATGTATATAAATCATTGCTCCAAATAGACTTAAAATGAATTTTAAAAGAAAGAGGCTAAATGGGGATGAAATTGGGGTGAAATTTAAACAATAATTTTCCTTCAACTGAATGTAAAATAATTTGATTATTTAATAATCAATATTTCATGTAACTAGTAACTGACGCTCAACAACGATGGATTTGCAATAATTGCTGTTTCTTGGCATAAAACAGTTGGAATTATTGAACTAAAAATACAGGGTGTCCCAAAACCACAGCATTAACTCTGCACAGCTAGATTCCTCGTTGGGAGTACATAAAAACTGCCCAAAGAAGTGTTCCTGTACGATCCATAGTTTACGGAAAACAAAGTATGGCGTCACTGTCGGTGCAAGAAAAAAACATTTTATTGGACCATTCCACGGCGTGCTCAAGCCTGCCACGACATGCACGGCGGACACTTTGAACATCTGCTTTAAATTGTGCATAGTATACTGCTGTTGATATGTTCAATAAAGGGTTTTTTCTTGCACCGGCAGTGACATCATACTTTGTTTTTCGTATTTTTCTCGTTAACTATGGATCGTACAGGAACGCTTCTTTGGGCAGTTTTTATGTACTCCCAACGAGGATGCGGTCGTTTTGGGACACCCTGTATATGTGCTGTAAAGAACACTTGTGCCTCCATGTCCAAATTTTACCCTTATGATACCATTAAGATAAGTGAACATAAATCAATTTTCTAAACAATAATTTTTTGAAATAACATTTAAAAGTATAATTCTATGACAAATTTGTTGAGTTCACAACCGTAATTTAATATTTTTGCTTGCCAAACGGAAGGATGCATTTTAAATACAATTCTTGCCTGAAGTTTTAAATCACTTAACGAATATCTTGAACCATGATTCATAATAGTATATTAATATAATTTGAAACCAAAAAATAATGATAGGAAAATGGTTAATAAGATACCAATATAAATCACTTAATCTTAAGAGGTAATGTAGAATTACGTTATTCTAATAATAAAAGCAATCCTCCTAAATTCTTAATTTAAAAACAAACAAAATCGAAAACGTAATAATAACAGTACAGATAATTTTAACCTTTAAATTAAGGAAACAAAAATATTTATAGGAATACACTTCATGATTTATGTCAATTTTATGCTGATGACAACCAAACCAATACGAAAATTAATGTGGAAGAACTTAATCCTGACATGTGATTTTCCGGCCAATGAAAATGTATTGACAACAATGGAAAACACCATCATTAGATTTTTATATATAGTAAGATAAATATTCATCCACACCGCTGATTTTCAATAAAAAGCCATATTCATTTTACTTTTGTATTTTTAATATAAAACTGAATTCTGCAATTAAATTTTGAATTTAATAGTTATAGTACAATTTTCCCCTTAGGAAAAAAAATCATAAGATTGGGTTTTCTGGAAATGGAGAACAGCCCAGTGTTCAAAAAACTCCCGGGTTCCTAAAGGATAAAGCTAACTTAACCCCCAAAAGACGCCTCAAAAAAATATCGAGAAAGGATTTACTAACAAAACAGATGACGAAATGTAGCGTCATCGACCGACAGGCACAGTTTTTTTCCTTACTGCTCACGTGACCTTCAATTCAATACGCAGATCAAAGTTCATGATTTCTCAGCAGCACTTTCTCCTCATAATTTGTTCTTCATCTTTCAGCGCGTGTTTGAGAGTTTCTGCTCGGAAAATCGTTGGGGATATATTTAAAAATAAAACCGCTTATCGCTCTGGTCAAGTGAGACGAATATTATCTGATTAATATCAAATTCAAATAAAAAATATTTTTCCGGCAATTTTAATTTTTATTCACCGTGGCTCTTCAAATACTTCTATTATGTCTCCTACTAATTATCCTGCTATTTGTGACTTTAGTTGTCTTTACTTACGTTTTCTCTACAGAAATGCCCAGTCTAAGGATGATACGTAGGACTTTTACCAGAGATATTAAGTAAGTTGTACTAGATTTTTTTTTTCTTTCTAAAAATATCTCATGTATTGATTTTCTCAATTTAGAGTCTGCGAATGAAATTCTTTTTCTATGAAATCGTTTGGGAATTATAGAGTGAGAAAATATCGTCAGGTTTAATTAGAATACTGTTTTTGCTTCAATTAATGTTCTTTTAAATGAGTGACTTAATTATCATCTGACTTATACTTAATTAGTAAATAATTTTCTTCTTTTATTTTTAATTTTTATCTACCATTACTCATAAAATTATTCTGTTATGTAATTCCTCGATTTGTCAGTTATTATTTTGTCGTTGTTTGCGTATTTTCTTCAGAAATGACATGTCTGTGTACGAACGTAGTATTTTTACTTGACACATTAAGTAAGTTTGATAAAATATTTTCTGTATAATTGAAATTGTTTTAAATTACACAGCGGCTGCTCGTGACATTTCGTGTGAAAAAGATCGAAAGAGATAAAAACAGATTCTATTTTTTTCCCTTTCTATATATTCGACAATATTTTACGGATAGAGTTAGAATTTTACGGTTTCTATGACGGATTTTATCAATTTTATATTAAAAAATTATTTTTTCGTCAATTTCAATATTTATTCACTATAGTACTTCAAATATTTCTATTTTGTCTTCAAATTCTCCTATTTTGTTCATTTTATTGCTATTGTACTTTTCAAAAATGTTGATTTATTACACTACGTATACTTTAACGTTTCTCTTTTTATTTTCTTTTGTTCATATTTAGTTTATGTTTTAATGTCAGTTTTTAATTACGATAAAAAAAATTTTTTTAAAAAAACTTTGACAATTTTAGAAAATTGATTTAGTAGTTTCTCAAAATCATAATTGGCCTGTCCCTTAGTCTAAAAAACTGAAATCAGTCCAAATTTTTATATATTGTCAATTTTTTCCGAAACTTACATATTTAAAATTGATGTAATTTTTGAAATAGCATATCTATGTCGTATAGGCTCGATTTATGTCTCCGACTTGTTGAAATTCTCCAGCTTATTCAAGTAATTTTCAATACTCTTCTACTAAAATTTTATTGCAAATTGCCTGAAATAAATCAAGCTCATTGAGTCTTGGAATTCGCCCAATCGTATGTGTTCTTGTTGCAGTACACCTAATTAGAAAAAAATTTACTTATTAACCTGCATTATTGCATAATGACTGTCCATTTTCGACCAGTCGGACTTTTAAATTAGCCTACACTCTAAAATTTATAATTTAAAAGTGTATTACTTCAAATAACTAATTTTTTCGAATGGAAGTTTTGATTGCGAACTTCCATGTTTGTAAGTCGTATTATTATTTACGCATCTTGTTTTACTCTGAATCTATTAAATTGATAAAAGACTTCCGTATTTGCGTGCATCATGATTACGAAACACAATTGCTCATTGTGTAGAATGATAAAGAAAATCTAACTCTTGATTTGAATTATATTTGCGTCAATTTTCTGAGTGTAATTATGTAATTAACTACGTTATTTAAAGTGCTAAGTTGAAGTTATTGTAAAAATAAAAAAGCTCGTTTGTAGCATAACTGATGTTCAGTCAGCGATTTAAAGCTTCTTTTTTTCTTCTAGTATTTTTTTTTTTTTTTATTGTTGGCATTAGCGACTTTTTTTC